GTTCTTTTAGATGATATTTTGCGATAAACATATCAAGGTTATTGTAGTCAATATAGTCACATAAAAAACATAGTTTCTGTGAGAGGAACATTTGTAAAAAGAGAAGTGACATCTAATGAGATCATTTTCCTACCATTTACATTGATATTTCTAATTGAGTCAACTAAGGAATATAGAAAGTTGTATTTGTTGATATGATTTTTAACGGGTTGCAAAATATCAGCTAACCATTTAGTAATCAGGTGATACGGAGAGTTGTTCATATCAAGTATAGGACGTAGAGGGACATGATTCTTATGAACTTTTGGGAGTCCATATAGTGTTGGTATAACGGTAATCGATGGTTTAAGATGTTCATGGAGGTCACAAATGATAGTAAACTCATCTTTCATCTTCCTTAGGATTTTAATTAGCATCTGTTCATTCAGTTGCGTCTTTTTTGAACGGTTTCTTGGGAGAATTTGACAGCATCAGATAATATCGAAGATGGTTTGGTAACATAGTCAAGACGATCCATAAGGAAAATTCTTGCATCCTTGTCTAGGCGACATATAACTAAGTCCTGATTTCTCCGAAAATCAGGTAATTGAGACTTATGCTCTTTTGTGAGTAATCGATTAATTGTAGGTATTTTGTTTACATATTGATTACAACAGTCTACAAGAGTTGTTTTGGAATGCTTATGATCTTCATTGGATACTGGGATAAGATTACTTGTCTTTATTCTTATTCAATGATACAATGGGTTATTTTAACTTTGTTGTAATTAATTCACCAGTCAGCTGAAAGTATAGCTAGTAGCATAGTGAATGGGAAAACTTAAATTAGGATTCATGCGCTTGTAATAATTTTCAGATGGGCTTCTATTTTGGGATAAGGTAGGTTGGTTCAAGTTTACTCTTGGTTATCTTCACGTTAGACTGGTTTAATATCCAGTATTCTCGTGGAATGAGTTGAGCTCCTTTAAACGTATGTCCCACTGGGAAATTAAATCTTTAGTGTTCTACCTTTTCAGTTAATATGTGTGTGGATACACCTTGGACACACTGTCGACCTGTAGAGATGTAAGGTTAACACTGTCTTCGAAACACGCATACAATATCTTAGTGTGATCATTCACTTTACCTCACCTAGCTAAAACAAAGAGCCGACGTGATACACCCTCCGTGTATCTGGCGACCCGATGGCTAATTCTCGTGGACTGGTAGGTGTAGACATAGCACTAGGTACGAGGGCAGAACAACCACTATTGAAGTGGATCCCCGTTAACAGTCATCTATGTGCTGTTCCGCTTAACGGCTCCGTAAGAACTCGGAGGGATAGGGACACACGTCATTGCCTTTTCCTCATTCCTGCCTACGCTCCAACAGACTGCAGCCCGAATGAAGTGAAAGATGAATTTTACAGAAAGCTTTCTGAAGTTCCTCATAAGGCTAAACGCTCAGACATAGTACTCGTAGTAGGTGACTTTAATGTTCAGGTAGTTAGCTTAAACCAAACAGAAGGACATTTACGTGGGTGTTTTAGTATCCTGGTTCAGTGAACATTTAATGGTGATAGTCTGCTGCAAATGTGCTCAGGCAATCGTTTATTTTTAGCAAACACTAATTTTAAGCGTAAGGAGAGACACCGTCTAACATGGCCACCCCTTGTGCCAAATCAACGATGGACTCAAATATTGCTATCATTCATCGTTGGGGAGGGTCGATAGAAGATTGTCGCTCATTCTGGAATACCTGCATGGACTCCGACCATGCTTTAATACGGGGAGGAATCTTCTTGCGCTTCACTGGACGCAAAAAAGTCACACTAAAAAGACCTATTAGAATTGAATTAAGTGACGAGAAAACTAAATGTAGGTTCCAGGAACAACTGAGGTCACACTTAGGTAGTTCTGAAAACGAGGCTGACCCTTATGTTGCTTGGAAAGATATACAAGCAGCTGTGGAAACAGCAGTGACATCTGTTGGTGATTTAAACCAAAGAGCTACAAAAAAATCAATGTATTTCTCCTAAGTCTATCGCACTGATGGATTCTCGTAAACTCATCCCATCAGGCTGTGAACACGATAAAGAGCGTAAACAAATAAGATCTAGGTTAAGCAAAAGTCTAAGGAACGACCGTCAGCAGTGGTGGGCAACGAAAGCAGAAGAGATAGAAAAGGCATCGGCTGTAGGCAACACCAGACAGCTTTCCATACTAATAAAAGAAACTGGAATTAAGGAGTCAAGTGTAAGTGAGATGATCTCGGGAAAAGACCGCACTCTTATGTGCTCTCAATCCAGACGTTAAAAACGAGGAGTGGGACACTTTAAGGAGCAGTTCCGTTGGCCTTCAGCTACTCTACAACTACCCACTATTCCCAAACAACCTGAATGGAACATTAGAGTAGGTCCCCTGACTCTAATTGTACTTCAAAAAGCTTTAGCTAATCCGAAACGAGGAAGGGCAGCTGGCTCAAATGGATTGGCTCCGGAGGTTCTTGAGGATGGTGGTCCAGTTTTGGCGATCAGGTTGACTACTATTTTACATGAAATCTGGCAGTTGGACGTAATCCCATCTGACTGGTGACAATCACTTATCGTCCCAATACATAAGAAGCGGTCAAAATCATCCTGTGATAACCACAGAGGGATTAGTTTGATTAATATAGCATCTAAAATACTAGCTTCAATAGTTATCGGAGGCGTAACAAAGACTCGTGAACTGCAAACACGAGAAAACCAGGCTGGCTTCAGATCTGATCGTGGCTGCATCGATCACATATTCACCATTCGTCAGGCTCTAGAACACATACATGCTTATCTGCTTCCGACAATGATGGTCTTTCTTGACTTAAAAGCAGCATTCGACTCCGTAGACTGAGAGGTTCTGTGGCAGTGTCTGTCATTGAAAGGAGTACCTCAGAAGTACATAAACCTTGTCAAGGCTCTTCACTCGAACACTACTAGTAGAGTCAGAGCTTATAGCGAACTGTCATCTACTTTTGCAACCTCAAGTGGTGTCCGTCAAGGCTGTCTACTATGCCCATTTTTGTTCAACTTCATCATAGACCTACTGATGGAAATAACGTTCTCGTCGACTGGATTTTCGGTCATTGATCTCCTACCAGGAGGACAACTTATCGACTTAGAATACGCAGATGACATAGTCCTGTTTGGTGAAGACGCTGATCAAGTGCAGAATCTTTTAGTAGCACTGAGCAACAATGCTAGAATGTTTGGAATGTGTTTTTCCTCCTCTAAATGCAAGTTGTTGCATCAGGACTGGCTTGTGTCAACACCTGAACTAAAGATAGGGAGTGAAGTAGTCGAACGCATCGACAACTTCACATATGTTGTAAGTCTGATCAGTCCTAATGGGTTGGTGTCTGACGAAATCTCAACACGGATTCAAAAAGCTTGTTCGGCTTTTGCTAACTTACGTCACCTATGGCAAAGGCGGGATATCCGTTTATCAATTAAAAGAACGAGTATGCTGTGCGGTAATTCGTTCTGTCCTACTTTACGGCAGCGAAACGTGGCCATCGTGAGTAAAAGATACTCGTGAGTCACTAGTATTCGATTGCAGATGTCTTATAAATACTGCTCGCATATGCTGGGATCACCGGGTAAGTAATAGTGGGGTTAGACGCAGGGTATTGGGGAATAATGGTAAATCAGTTGACGACATTGTAAATCTTCATCGGTTGAGATTGTTGGGTCACGTGTTACGTATGTCTGAACACCAATTACCATGACTAGTGTTGTGGATGGTTGGGAGAAAGTTAGGTGCGGTCGAACCAACCAAAACGTGGAATCATTCATTGAGATCATTAACTTCTAGTCTTAGTCATGTTGATTGATGCAGACTACTTAGTTGGGGTCCGCGTGACTATCGTAATCAATGATTGGAGACTGTGAGTGACATGGCTCAGAATCAATCACAGTAGCGTAAGTGTATACACTCACTGTCTTCCCTTAAACTAACAGAATAAAATGACTTTATACCCTTACTTCTACGAACTAACTCTTTCTTCCTGTACTATGTTCTTATACACAATTCTTCTTTTATAAATCACTACCATTGAGGTAACTATTTCTATGAATATGGTGTTGATCTTGTTGTGTTAATGAGGTATGAAAACTTTGACCGATGCATATATGTGCCTGGTCCTACGTTGTATCTGACTAACTTACTAACAGTGTATATCTCGCGATTGATTTCTAATCTGTCTATCGTAGTACTGGATGAAATCACCACCGAAGTGAATTTCAAATCTAATATCATTAAGTGAATAACTATTGTTCTGATCTACGTAAGTAAACGTAAACTACATAGTGAAGATCCTTTCAGTTATCGAAGTCTATAGTTGAAGACGTTGAATGACAGTTCAGAATCAACACCAAATAGCTCAAACACTACTTATTACTCATTTTCTCCTGAACCCTAAATTTCAAAATTATATTGAATATTTTATTCCACGAATTCATAATTTCTTTTTTGATGAGATTCAGTATATTCATTTTATTATTAACATAATAAACAAAATAAGTATTAATTTCAATAGTTGAGATCATGTGTCAATTGAAGCTAGACAACCATGAAAAACTTGGAAGCACTAGACGGCCGTTTCGTCGTATTGTGAGATCCCACAGAAGTACTTATCCACTACTCCGCCTAGCAAGTTTCGAATCCAGGACCTATTAGTCTTACGCGCTAGCGCTTAACCTCGATACCAATCAACCAGTATCCGATGATTTTAATGCCTAGCTTCAACTAATCCACGAAATTGAGCCACACATCCACCATTGTCATCAGTAAGACTGATAGGTGTTGGGTTTGAATCCCACGTGGCGGGATCTTGGATACGTACTGCTGTCGAGTCCTACAATAGGATGAAACATCCATCCTATGTTTTCAGATTTTCCATGGTTGTCTAGCTTCAATTAACTCATATTCACAACTATTGAAATGACTACAATCTCCAGAAAACCTCCCTTCTGAAAATAAATATTAATTCATTTTTATTGTATGATATTTATTATAATTTTGAAAAAAAATTTTTTTTCAATATACATCATCATTCAAATTTGGTAACGAATTACTCTGATTGAAATCAATAAATTGTTCATATTACAAGAAAAGGGAAGAAAGGTAACTATTCAATTACTGTTACTAACAGTTTACGGTTAATAGTTTAATGAATTGTTTTATGAAATCTATAAATTTAAGGAATAAAAAGAAAACACTACTTGTAATGATTGTAATGATAGATAAGGAACAAATAATTAATGATAGTAAAGATGGATAGTAGTTAGTAATGGAATTTAGGATGCGTGTTTCATTCTATTTGGGATTCGTCAGCTAGATGTATCTGCATCTTAAAAAGTTGATGTTCACTTTGGGACTCGAACGCCATCACGTTATCTACTTGTCTACTGAAGCCTGATAACCAATTGTTGTGCCCCGAAAACGCTGATCACTTATACTCGGAACGAGAGACCACGGCAATTCCCCCAATGCGAAAGTAAGAACACAAGACTGGTATAAATGAAGATTTATTAGCCCCAAAACACTATGACAACGACGAGTCGAATCTAGTCTAAAATACACCTGTTTATATATTGATTGTACACCCATTTTGATTAGCAATTAGGATTAGATCACATATTCAGTTATAACAAATCACTTACTGAGCATAGTTCATGTCAATGGAATACAAGAATATCGTATATTATACAGAAGAAAATATTATACTGGGAAAACAAATCAAATACTGCACTGAATGATCCTCACGTTGAATCAAAACGGATGTTGAATGTTGAATAAAACTCATAATGAGTAATTCAATCGAAAATTCATTTTTTTCCCATCATATCAAGCAATAATTAATCTACTGGGTATAACTTGGGTTCTAACATGGGGTGAAGTTTAAATTCATTTGGTAGGTAAGTGGATAATGGTGTGGCGTTTGAAGCGAACAGTATTGAGTTCGAGTCCCAGAGTAGATATCAACTCTGAGATGCAGATATATCTAGCTGACGAGTCTTAAATAGGACGAAACATGTGTCCTGGATTCCATTGCTAGGCACTATCCATCTTTACTTATAATGCTTGTGAATTAAAGCAATATCGAGGCGATACTCACAGTATGTACATATGCCAATAAGAGACTGATCAATTAACAGTGCTGAACATCAATAGGAAGATTCAAACAAATAATACCAAGTGGATTTAATTAACGATAGTGTTATTTTGTAAATGTTCACTTCCAAATCGAATTTAAAGATGGTTTTCAGGATAGAATGATGATTGGTGGAATCTGGGTAGTGTGTTTCGTCTTAATTGAGCTTTGTCGATTGGATCTACCTTCACTTCAATGTTTCGGTATGTATTAAAACTTAAACTCTATACCTTTTTCTTCAAATGTTAATATATTATCTATTGAGCTACTGAGACTGGATTATCACTAATTTATCTAATGAATATGAGATTCTTAGCCTAAAACTTATCTTAATTCTCTCTAAATGTATATATGCTAAGACTGATTAAAATTCAGTCATTAATGTTAACAACAGGAGAATTCAGCTCCTTTCTACACATAAAAGACGTTGTAATCTATCTATAGTCAGCTATCTTTCATCTGATTTACATACTCTGACTTAATAATTATCATATTTCTAAGGGATATTTATGACGGATCGATGTTAGCTGCGATAGTATTAAGAACCAAGGAGGATTGGACAGCTTTTCAGCCTCAGATTAAGAATTTTCAACAGTAAACATCCAGGACCTCAACTGGACCTTAGAGTTGCACGACAAGTGCGTAACTTATTCTTATATCGAATTCACATCGTGATAATTCCCTCACTGACTATACCGATGTAAAGCACGGTAACTTGAACTGCTTCAGACATATATAATGTTCTCATTGTTTTATGACTGATGCATCAGATCAAAGATTTCTACTGATCACTGGTAACTATGTTATCAGAAAATGAACACGAGATTGCATTATTTCCAACATGGTAATAATATGCTAAGAATATAATATAAACATACACATGAAACTGGTTATACATTGATTACAGAGAATGAATGCTTTTTTTCGTTAATTGATTGCCATTAGACTGATCAATCCAATTATCATGTAGAATATTCGTTGACATTTTAAATTTGTAGCTGAGAGCAGAATTTAAAGGAATAAAAGGTAGAGAAAGAAAACCAACAAACGTTGTGAGTGAATTCCTCAATGTAGAGTAGTTATACTAAAAAATATTAAGCGCTCTGGCGCGAGACGGATAGGTCCTGGGCTCGAATCTCGCCAGGCAGGATCGTGGATGCATATTACTGAGGTGTCGCACAGTAGGACGAAACAGCCATCCAGTGCTTACAGATTTTCCATAGTGGTCTAGCATCATTTGATTCATGATTTCAACTACTAAAATTAGATAGTATTCATTTAGGATATTTTATTTTCAATCTACCACTCACAAGACTGGTCTTTCACAAAACAATATACACCTCCGTACCAAAATGTGTCATTCATAGATAAGTAAACGAACTGAAGCGTGCTTTATGCGTTACAGACAAAATGGATCAATTGATAGATGAATGAGTGAAGGACAGAAACCCTCATCATTGGGTCATTGGTTCAAATCTTGCTCCATTTAATTCGGTTTTTTAATTAGGCAGTATCCCTAGTTTATACATAAGATGTTTGACCCATAGTCAAGTAACCAAATCATAAATTAACTAGGATTTAGAGCATAGAAAATTGTGTTTCAACTTGAAGATCGTAGACAAAGATAATACTTTTCCAACACCTTGATTTTCAGTGCTTCTGTAGTTGATGTCAGTTCATGGGGAAAATTAAAGTGTCATTGTAAATCATCTTTAAAAAAGAGATGTAGTAAGTCAATCTTATTGTAGAATAAAAAAATATTGGGAGATTATCCGATTAAGTGTTTAAAAGAGCGAAATTGAGCCATAAGTTTGTACACTCCAGATCATTTCAACGACTAATCAAAGAAATGCTTATAATTCGAAGGGAGATAATGTGAAATAACAAATTACAATGAAAATAATTTAGGTGACATATTATCAGGTAAAGATTTCAAAAATGGTTACCTTTTTTAAATAGGTTGTTACAATAAATACCTGGGATTTGGGACATATAAAAGTAACTGCACCAGCTTTGATTCTATTATTATTAGTCTTATTCTGATGAGATTTATATAACTGAAACAAACGAGTGAGAAGCCGTGACCGGTGGAGTTCAATCGTGTCGAGTGTGAGGCAATTGCCTACCGAAGACAGTTGGAGATGTTTGCTCAATATCCTGGATTGATTGGAGTTTGACACCAACACTACCAGATGCCATTTAGTGGTCTGTAGGCTAAGCGCTTATGTGCAAGGCTCAATGTCCTGAGTTTAACTCCTGTGTGTGGGCCCTTGATTAGGCATTGATGACAAGTTCCATAGTAAGCCAGCACGAACACCAAGTGCAAATGGGTTATTCCAATAAGCTTAATAAATCCAGTCGCACCATATGCCTATAAGTATGTGCTAGGTCAAGGCTAAATGATCAGTGAGCATTATTGGAAGATAGCCCTTTTGGTTAGGATTTGGCCCAGTTATCTGAGTTTTGTTTCATAATTGATTTCTATGGTCAATGTAGCCTCCTATTTGTCCGTATCAATCTAGGATAGCTTACGGAATCAAAAACCGGATGATAGCCCAAAATAGCATAGTTATTGAAATTTTTTAATTACAAGTGTTCCATATGAGTTCTGATTTATGCGTACAAAACATGTAAAGAAAATACAAAGTATAATTTATCAAAAAAAAAAACAAACGTACCATCGTTTGTGATTATGTCAGTACCTGTGGATGAAATTAATGTTCAATAAAATATATTACTTAATAAATAATGATAACATATTCTGAAAATAATAATTACAAAATCCACGCCAGTACATTTTTCACGGGTATTTCATCAATGAGAGGTGTCAGCCCTTAACCTTTACTTCTTTTTATGTGGATATCCTTTGGCTGAAGCCGTCCACGATTGATGCCAATTAGAATTCAGTAAATTACAACAATGTGCACCAGAGCACATAAAGCAGAAAAGACACCAGCACTCAACTGGATCGATATGTATCTGATCTCGGCCTGTCTAAATCGGTTCACAGAGTCAATACTTCTCCTGAAGTTACGTATCCAGTTTGCCGAATTCCCTTACTTACATTGTTCAAATGCAAGAGGCTATTCACCTTATGGATATGGATAGGCCCACTACAAAAATTATACTGCCTCGCTCGAATTTTCAATGACCAACAAAAGCGTTCCGGACACCATAAGAAACGTAGTGCTTTATATGTGAATGTTATGGAATGAAAAAATTTCTTTCTTTTAAAGTTTGCATTTAAAATAAGTTGAATTAGTTATAGTTTTTCTTCTTAAAAAAACAAAAAGCCAATTTATTTAAGATAATGTTTATTCACTGTGTGTGTATGGGTCTTTAAACTGGATTCAATACTCATAAATCAACAATGACGTTTGACATTAACACCGTTGAATGCCACCTTAGTTGTCTAGCGTTTAAGCATTTGTAAGTGAGACCAAATAACCTGGATTAGATTCCCAGGTATAAGCTCATGGACGTGCACTTTTGAAGAGTTCCACACTAGAATGATACAAACGTCAATTGCTCCCAGATTTTCAGTGGGAGTCTAACATAGATCGACTTGTGGTTTCAATGAAACTCAACTGTTTCTACAACCCTAAATCAATCTAGAAACTTTCATCTGAATACATTTTAGGATATAAATCTATTGAGTGATCAGTTAAATGAAAATATATATTAGAGTGGAGAAGATTTGTAGCTCACGTGGATGGTTTTGATAGAGTTTTATTCTCTGAGCTGGATGGTCTAGTCGTGGAGCTTTCATCGTTCTTCTGAACGACATCATCAGGTTTCTCACTGCTTCTGCGATAAGTCCTGATATTAGTGATCCCATCGGTGTCCCTTTTGTTTGTTCGAACATTTTGCTTCCACCTGAAGTTTGTGCTGATGATGTTGTTAAGAAGAACAATGAAAGCTCCACAACTAAAGCATCCATTACAGAGAACGAAACTCCATCAAAATATATTAGAATAAATGAAAACGGATATTTACAAATGAAATGGAATGATATAACTTACTAGAATAACTGGGGATTGTAGTATCTACAAAGTGAAAAAGTGAATAACAAGTGAAATAAACATCGAAATATTTTACCATTATTACAATAATATAATTAAGATGAACAATTATGAACTGTTTGATGATTGTTCGCTTGGTGTTGTTTTACTTGTATCTTCACCCCGTTACTAGAACAAGTGACCATCAGGACTCAGTAGCTAAGTGGGTAACACAATGGCGTCTGGAGCTAACGGTGATGGTTTCGAGTCCCGGAGTGAACATCAAACCTGAGATGCAGACACACCTAGCTGACGAGTCTCAAATAAGACGAAACCCTCGTCCTGGATTCCACTGCTAGTCCCTATTCATCTTTGTCTAAAATTTTTAATGATTATGTTCATATTTTTATTTACGTAGACGATGATGATAAGAGATCAATGACGTAGTGATTAACTTAGATTGGCCTATTCGATAATAATAATAATAACAATTGAGACAATACTTGAGATAAATCACTTAATTACTATCAAGATTAGTGTTATGAACCTATTAATTAACAATATTCAGCTCAAAGCAACACTCGTTGAGATATCAGTGAAATCTTAGGAGCAATTTACGAATGTTTTACTCTTATATGAAATTCATCAACAAACTTGACAAATATTAGGGATATGATATTGATATTTCAGAAGGATTGTACTATCCATAAACTACAGAACTAACTCTACTTAGAGCCTAATAAAGTTTACTTCTAGTTCCAAGCCCGGATAAAGCAGGATGGTTGAACATGGGTTTACCGACTCTGTAAACAAGAAACTTGTTAATAATATACGGTAACCAGAAAGAATCATTTTAGCCATTTAAACTCTATCTTAGGAGTAGAGTCATGATGCCTCATAGTGGAAGCTGGGATTCTTCGGAAATCATGAGGCTGATATTCCTTCTGAAACCCAGAGCAACAAATGCACCGGGAATCAAAGGCATAAATTAGGATTCTGAATATCACATGGGGACATCTTGAAACGAAAACCCAGGAGTGAGTTGGCTAAAGATTCCCTAGTCGGTACCCTATGCATTACGAGAGGTAACAGGCTTTATACGAGAGGCTCCAATCGATCACAGAGAAGTGCCCTGAAAAGTACCTAATGGAAGACCAAAACGCTATAGTCGGAATGGACAACACCGGGTATGAAGATATCATGGGACGACATGAACTGATTGGGTGAAAGGAATGAGAATGGTGATGGATACTAATACACCATATTTAATTAAAACATTTTTTGAGATCTTGTTAAAAGATGTTTATATTCAACTACTTGTTTGTTTTGTCATATGTATTCATTTTAAACATTGTCCATATCATGATCGTATGGAAAGATTATGTTTCACCAGGAGAGATTAAACGAAAGTCTTTTAGGTGAGAAAATCTTTGAACAGAAGTTATGCAGCTCAGTATATAACTTACAACTGAGGTTATCCGTAACGTTCACAAGATGTACCTTATCACTTTCGGTTATTTTTCATTTGATGTACTGCATTTGGCTGTGTATTTGATGTGTAAAATGTGATTGGTTACTGAGCGTGGACAAACAGACATCCAATTAACTGACTATTTTATGTTGATAGAAGCTGAGCTTGTACACTGTTGGATACCGGTTCATTTGTTTAGTGGCTAAACGCTGGAGCACGAGGCGTAGATGCCGATTGCTGAGATGTTCCATACTAGAACCGAACGTCCGTTCAGGGCTACTTGGTGTCCAACAGTTGTCTAACTATAACCTAACCTATACCCTGATTCACCATATAACTGGTCATGGATCAAGTATTCGATATAACGTGATTCCAGTCCGTGTATAGCGTATCGATCAAGTATATAGTCTAGTGATAGTATAATCGTGGTCACTAGTTGTATGATCCTATTATAGTAAAGGATCTTGTTGAAGAGGAAGTATTTTTATTCAATTGTTGTATCAATATTATTGTGCAATATTCATAATGGTTTTGATCTGAAGACCGAATGTTTACTATATAGGTGTATCTTTCTCCCAGAACTTTGGCCGACACTATGCTATACTGCACGTTTTCAGAGCGGACAGTCGGGAATAACTCCAACCATAAATCAGTCGATATAACATCTAAACTAACAAGTAATCTATTTTATAGAAGAATCTTCATTTCGTTCAGATGTAACTGATATACTCATTTTGATGAATAATTAAACTTACAATTAGTGTCATCTGTGGTAGAGTCTGAAATTGGATAAAGACACAAGAAACAAGAAGCATTAAAATAACACTATAAAACATTCAATATTATTATTATTATCATTAGTGGCTTTATTCAATATTATATTTTTGGTACAATATCGAATTGTCAGCATAAAGTATTTCAACAAGTTCCCGTTTCTTATTTCTTGATCAATCTTGACGATAAGTATTAACTGATCTCCAGTTAGATGTTAGCAGATCAAGAATCGACATCTGAATAATGTTTATTCTTTTCAATGCACATCGTTGCCACGAACCAAGATGTCACTGATTAGGCGTGTATAGTGAAATGTCGTAAACTTGTCACAAACTCACCTGAATAGGTTATGCGACTAATGTACATAATGATATATTAAAACAAACAAGAAATCAGATATTTTGTTGAAATATCCAGATGGTAGGAACAGGTAGCCCAGATAATCGAATAGGCCGCCTAGTATTTATTATTATGAAAAGTTAACTACTGTCCCAATTGTTAATTAGATCTTATCCAAAGTATTTCAAATTTATTAGAATAAAGAACTAATGTTTTTGAGTAGTAAAGTTTTGTTTACTTGTAATTCGATATGCAAATGATTAATCTATGCCAAGATTTTGAATTAATATCATCAGTTAGTTAGTTAGCTATAACGTAGGACCAGGTACATATATGCATCGATCCAAGTTGTCACATCTCATGAGCACAACAAGATCAACACCATATTCATAGAAATAGTTACTTCAATGGTAGTAATTTATAAAAGAAGGATTGTGTATAAGGATACATTACGGGAAGAAAGAGTCAGTTCGTAGAAATAAGGGTATGAAGTCATTTTAATCTCTTAGTTTAAGGGAAGACAGAGAGCGAATACACTTACGCCACTGTGATTGATTCTGAGTCATATCACACACAGTCTCCAATCATTGGTTACGATAGTCATGTAGACCCCAAGCAAGTAGTCTGCATCAATCAACATGATTAAGACTAGAAGTTAATGACATTGTGGACTGATACCATGTTTTGGTTTGGCCACCCCTAACCTTCATCCAACAGTCCCCAACACCAGTCAGCATTGCGCGTCGTGGTAAACGGTGTTCAGACATACGTAACACTTGGCCTAACCATCTCAGCCGATGAAGATTCAAAACCTCATCAACTGATTTACCATCACTTCACTATTACTTACCCGGTGATCCCAGGAGATGCGAGCAATATTTCTAAGACATGTGGTCAAATACTAGTAGCTTACGAATATCTTCTACTCTTAATGGCCACGTTTCGCAGCCGTAAAGTAAAACATAATGTACTGCCACAAAGTATACTCGTCCCTTAATTGAATTGCCTAAACGTTTTTCATTGTGGTCACTAAGATGAAAAGACTTTGGAAAACTATTTACTACATACAAGTAATTCATAAAAAACTTAATTTCGTGTTTTCATGTAAGCATTGGCTTAACTAAACAGTCTCAAGTTAAAAATTATAATATGGATTTATGGCTTAAAGTAAACGGAATGACCATTAAAATGGATTAGATATCAATATACAAGAAAATCAAATGAACATAATCAAGATATTACTTATATGGGATAATGATAAATAAGAAATAATTTCAATAGTTTAGATCATGAGTCAATTGAAGCTAGATCACAATGGAAAACCTGGAAGCAGTGGACGGCCGTTTCGTCCTATTGTGGAACTCCTCAGCAGTGCGAATCAACGATCCCGCCTGTCGGGATTCGAACCTACGTGGATTGAATTTAACTACTAGGCTAATGTTAACGTTTTAGTATTAACTGAGATATCCATGAAAACCATGAGTACCAAACAAAACATCCACAAATAGAATGTCCTATATGGAACTTACTTTCCTCTTCTGGTTTATTGGCTGAAATAAATAAATCGAAGTAAATTCAGTATTACATGTAACTTTAGATATGCCTATCTAGATATAGCAATTCATATTACAATACATGGTACATAAGTAAGCTATATTTTGTCAAATGATTTGTCCATTAGCAGAGTATTTATGCAAATTAGCCTAATTAATAGGAGTTAACAAGTGATAGTTTTCTGAGTCAATTTAGAATCTGTTATCAGATGTTTCAACAATACGTAACCACAATTTCAGAAATGAATAAATTTGCAACCTTTAGTAAACTAATAATGCTCTATATCTTGGATAGTTTGTTTACAAATATAGTCAATACATGATGATATACCTAGAGTCTCATCTAATATTATCAGTGAATTGTAGTCTATCATCTAAATTTGTTGAGTCCTACAAAACCTGCAAGAGATTCACTTCGAACGTATTTGTCATTAAGCGTATTACCAACATGTAGATATGTTATGAATGAAGATGTCTTTAATTTGAATAAAATTTTTTTTTGACGGATTAAAATCAGATTTGTTTATTAGTTTTAATAGTCGAGATCATGAGTCAATTGAAGCTAGACCAACATGGAAAGCCAGTGGAGTTCAACCGGGTCCGTTGTGAGATGGTAACTCACTGATGACAATGGTGGATGTGTGGCTTAATTTCGTGGATTAGTTGAAGTTAGACATTAACACCGTTGGGTGCCGGCCCGCTCAATGCTCTCAAGGTTAAGCGTTCGCGCACGAGACTGATATGTCCTGTGTTCTAATCTCATGATCATGGATGTACACTGCTGAGAAGTCACAAAGTAGGGCGAAACGGCCGTCTAGTGCTTCTAGGTTTTCCATGCTTGTCTATCTTCAAATGACTCATGATCTCAACTATAAAAATTACTGAAATCTCCACATAACCTCTTTTGATATTCATTTTAAAATGACAAAAGTGTTCATTAGTAAACCATGTTCATGTCTACTACATGAAAGTAATATGTTTAACTATATGATCATATATGAATTTATAAACACCATAGGTATTTAAACAGTGATATATTAATGGTTTATGGTTGAGATCATGAATTAATTGATGTTAGACCACCGTTGGAAACCTGGAAGCACTGGACGGCCGTTTCGTCCTTGTATGGGACTCCTCAGCAGTGCGTATCCACGATCCCGCACCCCGCGGGATTCGAACCCAGGACCTACTGGCTTCGCGCCTGAGCACTTAACCATTAGACCACTGAGCCGGCATCCAATGGTGTTAGTGTCTAAGATCAACCAATCCACGAAATTGCGCGACCACCTTCCATTGCACTAAGGTAGATACCTGTCTCTACCCGACACGGATTAGCTCCACTGGTCACGACGAAACGGCCGTCCAGTGCTTCCAGGTTTCCAACGGTGGTCTAACATCGATTAATTCATGATCTCAACCAAAAACTTAACAATCTCCACAACCCCATACTGATTAATGGTTTATGATTGTATTCTTTCCGAATGAAGAATAAATGAGTGGTAACTGTTAGGAGTTATTTATTTATTTATTATTATTATTAGCTTTATTCAATATTATAATTTTGGTACAATATAGAATTCTCAGCGCAAAGTATTTCAACAAGTTTCCGTTTCTTTCTTCTTGGTCGGTCCTGGCGATAAATATTGAGGAATCGCCAGTTAGATGTTAGCACTTCAGTGAATGAACAACTGAATAATGTACATTCTTTTCGTTGTACATTGCCAGCAACCATATTGTCTCTTATTGAGTTTTCTGTAACTTTGACAACGAAAGGTTGTACACTTTTCAGAAACGCAGCAGAATAGGTTATGCGATTAATAAACATAATGATATATTAAAACAAACAATAATAGATAACTTGTTGAAATATCTAGATGGCAGGAACAGGTAGCCCAGATGCTCAAGCAGGCCGCCCTATTATTACATATATTTCTTTTATCATAATCTTTCATTTGACCTGCTGACTACTGATATACGATTTACTATTCCTAAGTTATTCCCAGTTTATTAGTTACGGTATCTGACATTCACAGTTACTTTTAGCTGGATCTTTTATAACAGTTATTTTTCCTCTTTTGGTGTGATGTGGTCTGGTTTGTTTTTATATAAACCAAGTATTTCTGAAATATACAATTCACACAAACATAACTGATATTTGTGTTCTGGACTGAACAAGCTGAATTAGGTGCGAAGCTACAAAACAAAGGACGGATAAGGATTCAGAGTTGACTCAAGGCTACTAGTGCTGTTTGATGCACCATTTGTTTTAGCACAGCGATAAGGTTATAGAAGTCGGTCTACTATTGATGATTTCGTCACTTGATATATAACAAGCAATAGGACATAATACTTTAAGTAAATAATTCAAGCACAGTCTCATACATTCAACCTTTCAGTTGAAAAGAAGTTACAGACATCATGAACTACCTAACGATGTAATATCTCACTGTTTATTCCAAATATGTGTATAAATAATCAAATTGAAATGAAGCTTTAAAACTACACTCACTGAAATCACTTGTTGTACTGGTCATTGTTGTATTATCTATAAATCCAGATAATCATAAGAATGATTTGATATTAGAAAATAATCGGAACTTAAACTGGACAAAGAGAATAGTTAAGGATTACTTGACTTATCCCAATGTACTTTAATGATCATTATATGTCTATTCAGTGTTTAACAACTAAATTAGATGATACATTTAAATAATGAATAGTTTATATTGTGAATAGTAAGCAAATGATTCAGAAACTAATTGCATAATAATGATGAAGAAATTGTTCAGTCAGTCAGTCAGTAACAACGTAGAACTTCGTACATACGTACGTACATCAGTTGGAGTTGCCATACCACATTAGCGCAGAGGTGCAGTTGGTAAAGGTAGTGAGAGTATAAGCAGTAATCCGAAAGATTAGGGTTTGAAGATATCATTCAAGGAGTATAATCCAGTGAAATAAATTTGAAAACAAAATAATGGACATGAAGAATTCAAAAGATTGGAATTTGGGAGAACACAAAAGTGGATGCACCTGAGTCATTGCAAACGATTTTGAGCCATGCTATTCACGATCTCTAACCATCGGTTGCTATCATCTCGCGGATCCCAACCATATAGTCTACACCTACCAACATGACTCAGCCCAGTTGTCAGTGACTTTATGGATTTGTGCCAGAAGAAATTGTTAAATTCAAGATTGATAAAAGATTACACTAAATAAGAAGTTGGTTATATGTAAATATGTTAACAGCCTTTAAATGAAAGTGTGAAATACTTAGAAAACTGTTACAGAACCATTATAAATAGGTGAAACTTTAATTTATGGACGAACCAATCAGGTATGAGATAATGAATTTCGGATTTTGGCGCAGAATTCATGTATTCATTTGGCTAAATAGAGTTTCAGCATCATAGCTCATGTTAGTTCGTGATGGAAACTGTAAATCTAGTTCCTAATCTTAACTACCAGCTGTAAATCATAATCGTAATTCTTCACACTACTTTATAACTTTCATTTAGTTTTAGTAAGTAGGTGGACATTTTCGAGATCACTTTAGCGTCACTCAAAGGTTGTTCATAAGTTATAGTCACACCAATAAGTTTGCATTTGTCATAAACTGAGATTATTTGAGATACAACCAAAGAATATGAAGATCTGGATAGGATTTGAAGGGTAATTTCTAATTCACATCAGTAGCTTAAATAAACTTCTGATATTATGTAGTGTCGATTTAGTGCAATAATATCTAATGTAGTTTGTCAATATGATGATTTTATTTTCTTATCCCATAATCAAGATACGTGATTATCTTTTGAGTTCTTAGCAAACTAAATTTATCGATAAACTGATGAATGTGCCAGTAGTCCTAGACAAAGACTTCAGTATAATTACTAGTAATGGGTACAACGCTGTTGGAAATTCCCTTAAGGAGATTTAAACGTCCAATGTAATATTGTAATGTAATTCGTTTAATAAGGATAGTTTTGTTTACTTGACTTTCAGTTGTATGATCTATGCTTGACAAGTTAGTATTAAAACGTTAGTCAAACCTACATAGTACCAAAAGGGGTTTTGTGAGATTTTAGTAATTTTTATAGTTTAATTCATGAGTCAATTGAAGCTAGACCACCATGGAAAACCTGGAAGCACTGGACGTCCGTTTCGTCCTAGTATGGGACTCCTCAGCGGTGTACATCCACGATCCCATCTCGTGAGATTCAAACCTAGGACCTATCAGTCTCACTTTATTTCGTTTACATAAAACAATCTAAATTCCGAAGTAATTTAACCGGGTCTGTTGTGAGATAGTAACTCGCTGATGATAATGGTGGATGTTTTGCTCGATTTTGGGGATTAGTTGAAGTTAGACATTAATACCATTGGATGACGTCGCGCTCAATGGTCTGGAGGTTAAGCATTCACGCTCGAGACCGATGGATCCTGATTTTTAATCTCGCAAGGCGCGGTCTGGATGCGCACTGCTGAGGAGTTACACAGTGGGACGAAACTGAGGTCTAGTGCTCCTAGGTTTTCCATGGTGATCTAGCTACAAATGAATGATGATCTCAACCATCAAGCCTAATTAGTTGGAATGTGATTATTACATGTGATTGACAAATGAGAAATTAATTCACATTTTACTCAACCTATAAAGCAATGAATTTTCAAACTTGATTCCAGAGAACAGTTACCTTAACGTGTATCTCTTTCATTTTTTAAATATCAATTTAGCCATATACAGGAGTTAGGTTAAAACAATTCGGTTACAAAGAGAATTATGTAACTTACCGAAAGTGGGAGGATCTGCCATATGTTATAGAACAATAAAACCGAGAGAGAACAAACTGTTTGAATAAAGTAACTCGATAACGATATATTATGTTTGAATTTATATCTATTCTTTTAAATACGTTGTGATTCGTATTGATAACAATGTCGGAATTTAAAACACTGCATGGGATGTTATCAGTTATATCAGTGTATACAAGTAACAACTATATGAAAGGAATGATTGTAGATCAAGGAAATTTCAAACTGTTAGCGGGATATAGACTGGATTAAAGCATGCTCAATACACGATTGCTTTGATGCACGCTGATTGACTGATTCTTATCCAATCAGCACTAGTCGATACTTGAAGAATACTCTAGAATCTTCTCATGTAAAAACTATAAATATACTAACGTTTTCCCTATTGTGCTTCTTACTTCCATCTAACCTTGTTGTTTGGGATATAATCTCTTTCCTGTTCAACCGTGTTCTGATTTCGGGACTTGTCGAGTGAATCGGTGTCCGAGAATACTAAGCAATAGGAATAGCTGGGTCATAACTGTAAGAAAGAGATTATAACACAAACATACTAAAGAATATAAAGATATATGCCATTCATGTCTAAATAGAATCATTAGACACATGGAAGTACATATAAGCGATCAATCTATGTGGGAAAGATCTATCAGTTACATGGTCAGAGTTCAAAAGAACAAAGCAAACAGCAAGACTCCAAAGAAATATAAAAGTGGTAAATCTTGCTAAGACGACCAATTGCATGTGGAAAGATTCTTAAAAAGCTCACTTTCATTTGAAGTAAAGGTTGATGATGTTGTTCAAAATGATAATGAATGCCTTTCAATTCGACATTTCACTTAATGGAACGTAGCATTACTAAAAGTACTTACTTTAACTACAGATTATTTCTATCATTTCAATAAAAATATATTCTGAGTAAGTCTAGATGATCATGTACTTTTCATCGTGTGTCTGAAATGGTCTAGATATCTGTTTTATCTCCTTGACCTTAATTTTATTGACGTTAGCACCTTAAGTCAGACCTATAATTTATTAGAATTTTATTACACTGACGTTATTCTTAAAACATACTGATCCTATTCCTCATCTATATGCACATCACTTTCAATCCACTATACAGTTGTAAAGTGAGCAAACTGTTACAAATCATTCGTTAGATTTCGGTCAATTTTAAATATTAGAAAAGAAGATGGTGATTTAATTCATTATTCTATTGTTTGTTTGAATCTTCCCATTGATGTTTAGGTCTGCAGTTGATCAGTCTCTTATCGGCATAAGTGTATACTGTACAGATTACATCGATATTGCTTTAAGTCACAAGTATTGTAAGCAAAGATGGATAAAGGCTAGGAGTGGAATCAAGGACGCACGTTTCGTCCTATATTTGGACTAGTCATCTGGATGTACCTGCATTACAGAGTTGGTGTTCATTTTGGTACACAAACCCAGTACCGTTGACTTCAAACGCCATGGCGTTATCCACTTAGCTACTAAGTCCAGATAACCATACCCATCTTGGATTCCACTACTAGCCATCATACCTCTTTGCTTATAAAAACGATGATTGTTTTAAAGTGGCAGATTTATTCTCAACGAAATTCAGTCACAGTTCGTTTTACGCAGTGATAACTTCCAGGAATCTGACAGTGGAAAATAATGTTTCTAATTCTGCTGAAAATGTTAGTTCTGTCCAAAATTTCGTTACATTTCGACAAATGTTAACAACCATGAAATCGATCAATTCATTTTAATTAAGTAAAATACGTAAGTACATATTACACGATAAAAAAATATATAATTTTCAACTCCCATTGAAAATATATGACAAAGTCTTAATGAAACTTTAAAAAAATGCTTAAATGAAATACATACAGTTATGAACAGATTCCAGTGGAGGAAGAAATCAGGTAAAAGCGCTAGAAATGGGTACGACACACACTGAGGAAAGTACCCAATTGCATCATAAGGCAAGCCCTCACATGAAATCCTCAAGGCAATAGGAGAAGAGGCAGACCGAAGAACACATTACGTCGAGAAACGGAGACAGACATAAAAAGAGTGAACAGCAATTGAATAGAACTAGAAAGGTATACCCAAGACAGAGTGGGTTGTAGAATGCTGTTCGGTGACCTATGCTCCATCGAGAGTGACAGGCGTAAATGAGTAAGTAAGTAAGTATGCAAGTAATAAACTGATCAGACTTACCAGTAATAGGATCTTCTGTGGAACCTAAACATTTAATTAATTAGATTAAAGTAACTAATAAACCAGTTTAAATTTATTGAGGTATGTGTTTATATGCAGTTTTTTTGGCATAATTTAAAGGTTACATAAGTAAACTAAGTTAACATCAACTGAAGAATAAACAGTATTCAGGGATCATTGAGCAACTGAATCCATAATGTTTAAGACAACTTAACAGTGAGAAATACTATGTTAAACAGAAGTATTCGAATTAATGTGTTAACTAAGGATTCCCGAAACAGTTCGATTTATGTCAGGTAGAACTAGATGAGCACTACTAAACGTTTTATATTTGTGATTCGTAATAAGCGCGCAATCAAGTACAAAGGAGTTATTACTTAGTACAAATACCATAAATAAACAATTACATAGATGAAATCATTGAAAGCATTCAGATCACAATGAAACCAACATGATAACATTGAACTATGTAGTTGTAATATGCAACAGTTTCCTCTTCATTAAGTAAGTGAATAGTGTGTGTAAAGTAAGGTTTTCACTGAGAACTTCATTTCAATCTTCAACATTCACTTCGTTTTCTCTTTTCATTCTGTACTTTGGAATGTCATAGAGTGATTTCTTTATAGAAGATATATTTAGATGACGTTAAATGGTGGAAATGTAATTGTCAGTGAGAATTATGCTCTTATATGTTCTGTTGAGCAACTAAATAAACGACGGAAATGATCAAACATGTTAGATGATTCACTTTTATTGAATACTGATAACTGGAGGGTTATGTTAAAACGTTTAGAATATACACAAATCTTATTTATTTTTCCATCAGTAACAGGCTACTATGGGAGAGAACGAATAAACATCTAACTGATATGATGGAAAGAAAAGTCAATTTTCGATTGAATTACTCATTATGAGTTTTATTCAACATTCACCATCCGTTTTGATTCAACGTGAGGATCATTCAGTGTAGTATTTGATTTTTTTCCCAGTATAATATTTTCTTCTGTATAATATACGATATTCTTGTATTCAGTTGACATGAACTATGATTTGTTATAACTGAGTATGTGATTTAATCCTAATTATTAATCAAAAATGGGTGTAAAATCAATATATAAACCAGTGTATTTTAGACTATTTGGATCATCGTTCGTCGTCATTGTGTTTTGGGGCTAATAAATCTTCACTTATACCAGTCTTACTGTTCTTACTTCGCATCGTGGTAATTGCAGGGGTCCCTCGTTTCTAGTATAAGTGATCAACGCATTTTCAGGCACAACAATCTACGACGACTAAATACAACACCAACTGAAGAGGAAATTAGAAAACGATGCTAGAAATCGATAGCCTACACATTGAGGAAATCATTAAACTGCATCAAAAGACAAGCGCTAACTTGGAATCCTGATGGGAAACGAAAAAGGATGAAGATCAAACAACACACTGCGCACAAAATTAGTAGTAGATGTGAAGAGGACGAATAGCAACTGGATAGGGTTGTCCAGGACAGAGTTAGATAGAGAATCCTGATGAACTGCCTATCCTGCTCTATAAGGCATAACAGGCGTCAGTATGTAAGTAAGTTAATTATCTTTGTGTGTGTGTTTTTGTCATGAATTCGTACTTCGTTTCATCAGTAAACGATAGAAAGTTACATATTAAATTAAAGTTTGTAAATAGGATCATGTTTTCTGGTTTTATATATCTAATATTCTGTTAAAATGATTGACATATAACAAAGATTTACATAAACTGGAATTTGGACAATAATCAATAATGAATAGTTGTGATTTAGCCAAACTATTATTTTTTCGTTCAACATTCAATGTTTGAACTTTGAATCATTTACATCTATCAAGAGAATAATTGACAAATAGTTGCTATGACATTAATCACAATTGAAACTCATTGAAAAGAAATATCCATATGGAGACAGATATCGATTATTACCAGAAGGAGTTTTGTGGAGATTTTAGTAAATTTTATAGTTGGATTCATTTGTCAATTGAAGCTAGACAACGATGGAAAACCTAGAAGCATTGGACAGTGTTATATCCTGATGAGAATAATGAATGGTAACTGTTGGAATCCATTTATGGACCAATACTATGCGTATATTATTATTAGCGTATAATTGTTAAGTAGGTAAACTATGCATATTCGTGTTCCACTTATCATTAGCTGTATATATATGAAGTTATTACAAATGTTTCAGGGAAATCAAACAGTAAGTTTAATAGAATATCGTAACTAAAACTTACTGTCTTCTTGCGCTTGACCAACTGAAATGAGAAGAAAAAAAAGGTAAATTGTTAATATTGTGGTGTATGCTATTTATGCTTACAGATTTAAGTGGCATATAGCCGTAATAGAAAGTGAAATACCTGATAGCAAAAGATCACAGTAAAGAAAGCAGAAAGGAAATCAATGTGAAATCAAAATAACAACAGAATTAGAAGAATAATGGTGTATGTAAAGGAGAACATAAATATGTATTTGTATAAGTTTCATATTTTACTAATCTACTGCATGATTTAGTAGTTTGGCGTTTTTCTCACCTTAGTTCCCGTTCATCACAGTAATAGTTCTACTTTCTGAAACGTTCTCTTTACAAACATTTTATCTTAATTTTCTATATACACAGTGATATTTATAAATAAAGACTTATATAACCTAAATAGATCTAAGAGAAATATGGTGGAGAAGATTTTGACAAAGTTTTGTTCTCTGAGCTCGATGGTTTAGTTGTGTAGGTAAAAGTCTGTACTGATGATGTAGTTCAGAAGAACGATGAAAGCTCAACGATCAAACTATCCAGTCCAAAGAACAAAACTCCATCTAAAATTGATATCTTGATATCATAGACAAATTCAAAATCTCTCTTCAATACAGTTTATGCGAGAAATTAGCAACAACGAACTGTGGGAAAGAACAAACCAGATCCCAGCGAAGGAAGAAATTAGGAAGAAGTGCTGGAAGTGGATGGGACACACATTGAGGAAAGCATCCAACTGCTTCACAAGACAAGTTCTCACATGGAATCCTCAAGGCCAAAGGAAAAGAGGAAGACCAGAGAACACATTACACCGGGAAATGGAGATAGACATGGGAAAAATGAACAAGAATTGGATGGAATTAGAAAAGAAGGCCCAGGACAGAGTGGGTTGGAGAATGATGGTCGGCGGCCTATGCTCCATTAGGAGTAACAGGCGTAAGTAAGTAATGATAAATATTTTACAGCTTTACATTATTACATATCGAAATTGGTACTTTACTTGTTCAGATTTCATATGGAATTAATTTTTCATGTTGAATGACGAATTAATTTAAAACTTGTGGATTAATTGAAGAAGAATTTGTTTCCATAAAAAGTAAACATTGAAGATCTTCTTCAAAACAACAATGACAACCCCAAATTTCAGCTACTCATCTCAGAGAATTTAATAGTATCAAAAATATTAAAAGGATGCTGTAGTAAACGAGAATACAAGTACGGACAATCGAGTGTAATTCAACACGTAAATTACAGAACGTCTTTGTAAAATCTGAGAATTATATAGTAAATAGTCCATGTGCAATCATTCTTGGTTCTTGTTCTCTTTTCTCCGATCTTAACCTTCTACTGTCAAGCATTTCACTTTCGATTCCATGATACATACTACTTATATATGTCGACGTCAGTAGCACACACCATAATGCAACTGACTAGTTCTAAACTTATAAATAATGATGAAAATAATTTTAGTTAATTATTTACCACATTTTGAGCGAAAGATACAATGTTAGAGTTTCTCTGTGAAAATTACCATTAGGATAGAAGTATCTCTAGCTGAAGAGACCAAAATAGGATGAAACAAGCATCTTGAATCTAACTACTATCTATGGTCTAACTTTAGTAAATCCTTGTGACCAAAATAACAATTTCATGGCCATAAGCTCAGAATAAATACCTATATATTGTCAAAGAAGTTGGATAATTAACATCAACAAATACAAACTCTTTAAAATAATATTCTGCTACGATTAAGTTTTAATTTGATTACTTGCCTTAAGATCAATATCAGTACGTGATCGTAATAACTGACAAAATGATAATATTCAGTAAGGTTTAGTTGAATAAACTTAAAGGTAAATTACAACTGATTAAACACTGGGTGGTGATCAATGTCATATTTTGTCAGCTCCATCTTAGTGCAGATCGAATCCTGTGGACCAAGTTGCAATGTGGTCACTAGTCTAGGTGACTCGACATTGTGTGCACTATATTGAGATAAGATGGTGATTGGAGATAGTCAACAGGAAATTGACTTATGCATAGTTATTAAAAATCACCATGTTTCATAATTATAAGGTGATTTCCTTTTAGCGAACAACAGTCTATAAATAGTTTAGAGAAGTTACACATAATTTAATCTCCTTGGGATATAACACAACTAGCACTTCCTAGTTGGATATCTTCCAATGAAATGTCAACCAAGAGAAAACATTGGTCTACAGTACTTTAAACCTTTGATAATTTAAATCTTGAACAGACATTTTTTTGTAACGTAACTCTTGTTGATTGTTAAAATTCATATTGTTCTTATATACCATAAACAATAATTATTTTCATAATAAACAAAGATGGATAGTGGCTAGCAGTGGAATTCAAGACTCGCGCTCCGTCCTATTTGAGACTCGTCAGCTTGATTTACCTGCATCCCAGAGTTGATGTTCACTCTGGGACTTGAACCCAGTACCGTTCGCTTCAAACGCTATGGCGTTGTTCACTTATCTAATGAGTCCTGATGATCATTTTCGTTGAACTATTTTCTTCTTAAAATTTCGGTCAATTTTATTTTCCTACAAGTCGTTATGTAATTCTCTGGTATATATATATATATCATACAGATTATCAGTGATGATCGCTCCCAGACACCTTGGTAAGGTCGAGGGTGGCGAAAGTCAACTCATCCTCTCGAAATGCTCTCACATGGCCACTCGAATACAACCACAACCAACGAAATCCTACTCACTGACTTCTTGTGGCGGCTGTGTTGTTCGCAAAATTAGGAGAATGTAAAGAGAATGTCCGGCGGTTTAACCGGGCTAGTGGATGTGGAGGATCTACCTAGTAAAGTTGGAAAACAGCGATTCCAAACCAATGGTGCACATTCGCTCCATGTTCCTGAAGGAACAAACAGCGTATGAACTAATTATTGTTCACCGGCTACCATGGGACTGTATCTTTTAACATTGTTCCATTGCCTTGTAAACTAGATCTCTAGGTCAAAGGTACAGAGAGTGACCCTCTAAGAAAGCAACTTACTACTGTTTAGGCAGCCAGGTAATATTTTATACCTTATACAAATTGAATGATAAAGTGTGGCGCATATCTGTTCAGTGCCTTCGTGTACCAGTGTTTATCTGTTTAAATAAATTATATAAATAAACAAACGAATGAATTTCTAATTATCAGATGGGGTTTGTGGAGATTTTAGAAATTCCACTGATTGAAATCATGAGTCAATCGTAGTTAGACCACCATGGAAAACCTAGAAGCACTGGACGGCCGTTTCGTCCTAGTATGGGACTCCTCAGCAGTGCTCATCCACGACCCCGCACCCCGCGAGGCTGGAGCCCAGGGCCTATCAGTCTCGCTCCAGGCGCTTAACCAATTAGACCACTGAGCCGGCATGGATTATCTAACTAAATAAACACTTAACTAATTAATCATCTCTTTAGTTATTTCAATATCAATCATGATTAAGTTTGATTGAAGAGTATTCAATTTAGTGAAAAGAAATTGAGAAGAAGATATAGAACAAAAAATATGATAAAAAAATAATTTTCTAAAAACAAAAAAACAATTAGGTGAGACTATAATATATGGACGACCTTTGAGTGACGCTAAAGTGATCTTGAGTGTGTCTACCGACTTACTAGGGCTAAGTAAGGATTATAAAGCAGTTTGAAGAATAAGGATTATGATTTATAGTTGATGGTTAGAGTTAGGAATAAGATTTACGGTTCTTCATCACGAACTAACATCAACTATCATACCAGGATTCCATTTAACCAAATGGGTGAATAAATTTCGCGCCAAAAATACAAGACCTGTTGTCGTAAAGCTGATTAATTCGTCCATAAATTATAGTCTCATCAATCATTGATTATCAGATGATTAAATTGACTCACTTTTCCCATTTAAAATGAGATTTAATAAACACCAGATAATACACCAACTGTAAATGATGTCCATCTTGATAATGGATGTTAATTACAATAATCAAATTACAATAATCACATATTCACTTAGATTACATAACACTATTTATTATAAGAAATACCCAATTATGTGTGTATAGTTTGTGCATCTATGCATATATATGTAATATTATCTGTAGTATGTAATAAACGACAAACACAGTCAATTTATTTATAGGATAGAAACAATCAAAGAAACTGATTTATTGAATACTCATAAATTGGAATAATTTATATGTGGGTGTTTTAAATATGTGAATTTGTCACAAAATTCATTTTTTCGGTATTTAGTGTAGGTTAAGATCATGAGTCAGTTGGAGTTAGATCACCATGAAAAACCTGGAAGCGCTGAATGGCCGTCTCGTCCTACTATGAGACTCCTCAGCAATGCACATCCACAACCTCGCCCCTGCAAGATTCGAACCCAGGACCTACTGATTTTGAGCGCGAGCACTTAACCACTAGACCACTGAGCCGGTCGGCATCCAACGGTGTTAATGTCTAACTTTAACTAATCCACGAAATTGAGGTATATTCTGGTGTTCTAGTGAGAAGTAGTGACCAGTGGAGTTCAACCTGGTCTGTTGTGACATGGTAACTCACTGAAGACAATGATGGATGTGTTGCTCCATTTCGTGGACTAGTTGAAGTTAGACATCAATGCCGTTGGATGCCGGCCCGCTCAATGCTTTCAAGGTTAAGCGTTTGCGCACGAGACTGATAGGTCTTGTGTTCAAAACTTGCAGGGGCGAGGTCTTGGATGCGCACTGATGAGGAGTCCCATAGTAAGACGAAACAGCCGTCCAGTGCTTTCAGGTTTTCCATGGTGATCTAGCTTCAACTGACTCATGATCGTAACCATTGAAATTACTATAATATCCACAAAACCCGTCTGATAAATATATATATATATATATATATATATATATATATATATATATATATATATATATATATATATATCAGTATTGTTAAGTTTAGATTGATGTCATAAATAGATCAGTGTTGGATTATCATTGAAAACATTGAAGTACTAGAAGACCGTTTTTCACTCTAGTATAGAATTCTTTAACAGTGTACATCTACGATCTTGAATGTAGAGTCTTAGACTGGGATCAAATGGTTATGTAATGCCTCTATATTTTTTAATGGTGATCCATTCATGATATTCATTTAAATAGGCATATTTATTTGTTTTGTTTAAAGTTTGTTTTCTATGAACTTGTTTTTCTAAAAATTTCAAAAGTTTTGGAAGATAATTGGAAGAGTTTTTGAAACTAAACGGTTTTTGTTTTCGTTTATGGAAAAAGAAGTTGTAAGGGGAGATATGACTTATGAAGATCAATCGTTATTGTATTAAATGACTGTCACACTTAATCATGAACTGATTATAGTTGGAAATATTGACCAATCAGTCTCAATTCTTTAATAGTGTTAACTTGAAAATTTGAAAGTTTCACGTACGATACCCTCTTAATTTGTGATTGTAAGGTAGATTATTTATTTAATTAGTTGAACACATAAACACTGGTACAAGACAGTACCAAATACATATGTGCTACACAAAAAATGAGACCAGTAGCAGTTATTATTAATTTGTGGGAGGTCTGGAATACTGTCCGGGTGCAGTAGGTGTTTTTCTTAGGGGAGCACAACCGGGGCCTTTGACCTGAAGGTTTGATCCACAAGGCAAGGGAGCAATGTCAGGAGATGCAATCCCATGGTAGCTGGTGACCAACAATAGGTTCATACGTTATTTGTTCCCTTAGGATACTAGAGCCTATGTACACCATTGGTTAGGAATCAGAACCGAAGGCCCTGGGTTCGAATCCTGCGAGCAGAATCATGTATACGCACTACTGAGGAGTCCCACAATAGGGTGAAACGGCCGTTCAGTGCTCCCAGGTTTCCCATGGTGGTCTAGCTTCAATCCGTTTATGATCTTAATCAAAAACTTGATAATCTCCACAACCGCATAATGATCATTTTCGGCTTCACTACACATTGGAACATTTTTTTAAAATAGTTCATCTATATTTATTGCTGTTTATTGTTAATCTTTACTAATATGATATAAAGTATGTACATTTTGTTTTAAACAATCAACTATATGAATTCATTTGTATTGGTTGTTTGAATCTTCCCATTGTTTGTTTACGACCGGGATGCTTGAGACTATGAATGATACTGAAACAATCTATGCAATGACTGATCGAATGAATTTTTAAACAATGTAAATATTCGAACAGTCGATATAAAGGAATTAAATTTCACACCATTACACAAGCTAGTGGCTATCTGGACTCAGTAGCTAAGTGAATAACGCCATTGTTTTTGAAGAGAACGCTACCGGGTTCGAGTTCCGAAGCGAACATCAACTCTGTATTGAAGGTAAATCCAACTGACGAGTCCTAGATTCCATTTCTAGCGACCATCCAACTCTGATCATAATCAATTACGTTGTTTACTGGTTGTCCTTGCTTAAGTTAAATATCCCAATGAAAAAAAGTTGTGTAGAGTAGTTTCGTGTTTTTGAGCTGAGCGTTTGACAAAAGTAATTTCCACAGTTCATTCGTCTGGATAGTATACGTCTAAGTGACATTCATGTGGACATTAATGACTAGTTTCGCGACTGATTATCTGAAGTCTTACAAAGAATCAGTGACTAGTTATGAGTCCGAAATTTTAATAAATCCCAAGCAAGAATAAAATAATTACCCAGTAATCTCGAGTTTATAATATCCTCTATCTTATAACAACTCAATCAAATCTGTTTCTATTTTGCATGCTTTATATTCGAATGAATCGGTAGTCCAATTTATTCCGCTCGCAATTTCCACGATTTCATTAATTTCATACGTTCACTTTGACCTCAGGGTATAAATTATGAAGCATTGAAACACCATATGTATCGCTGTTCAATGAAAATTAGTTTGTTCATACATATTAGGGGGCTTATGTCATTTTAATTATGATATATATCGGTAGCATATGGTCTAGAACATCTAGTTTTTGTGATATTTGCCTTTGAGTACATGAAATTTTAGAAAGCCGGCTAATTCACAAAGAATTTGAATTTGCTCACTGATGAGGACCAACCAGTCGAGAAATTAGAAAGTAAGCCAATCACTGAGATTCAGGACCAGAGGAACAGGTGGGTAGAAAACCCTGAGGAATTCTTGAACAGATTTGCCTCACTAAACTAACCGGATATCTAAACAACACACACAGATCTCCTTATAGATGTCATTTCACCAATTATCGAAGAAATCAGAATGAACATCAGACATATTAATAGTGGGATATCAGCAGGACCGGAAAACCTCATGGGACATTCTTCGACAATATGGTTTTGCTAAAAAGATCGTCAAAATAATCCGGAATTCGTACGATGGACTACAGTGCAAAGTAGTGCATGAAGGGCAGCTAACAGATGTATTTTTTGTGAGGGTCGGTGTTAAACGAGGCTGCTTACTCTCACCCTTCCTATTTCTTCTCGTGATCGAATGAATTATGGAGACCTCGATATCTGAGGGGAAGCATGGAATACAATCAACAGCTTGCATGCAACTAGGTGATTTGAAATTCTCATATAATCTAACTCTTCAATTACATACACACGAACAAATGCAGATGAAGATAACTGGTGTAGTGACAGCCTTTTAATCAGTTTGCCTAAACATACACAAAGGAAAATGCATGACCCTCAAATACAAAACAGAAATTACCAACCCAATCACGCTTGATGGAAAAACTGTAGAAGAGGTCACAACTTCTACATATTTGAGGAGCGTCATCGATGAACAATGTGAATCGGACGCAGATGTGAATACCCGAATTTGTGAGACAAGGGCAGCATCCCCACAACTGAAGAACATCTACAACTCAAAACATCAAAGTGAGAATTTGCAATACGAATGTCAATTGATTGAGTTCTATTGTGCGAATCTGAAACTTGGAGAACTACTACAACCATCATCAAATGTGTACAGTAATTTCTAAATAGTTGTCTACTGAAGATACTGAATGTCCTTTGATTGGATAACATCAGCAACAACCTACTAAGAAGGAGAACAAATCTTCTTCCATCTGAAGATGAAATTATGGAGAGATGTTGCAAAAATCACCAACCTGGATCACGATGCGAGCGCTAACTTGGAATTCTGAAGGGAAATAGGAAAGAGGAAGTCCAAAGAACACACTGCACAGAGAATTGGAAGCAGGCATCAAAAGGATGAACAGCAACTGGAAACTACTGGAAGGAGTTGCTCAGGATAGAGTTCAATTCCGTATCTTGTTGGGCAGCCAATGCTGCTCCACGAGGAGTAACAGGCGTCAGTAAGTAAGTACGTAATAAGTACCAACTAACACAGAACATAGTTTCTGGGCATTTCAGTGATTATCTCGAACCATTTAAAATCCAAATATAGTATGCTTGTCGCCCAGTAACTATAACTATTGACCACAGTATAACTCGGTCGGTGGGATTCGGTTAGTACTGATGACTAGATGAACAAGGTATTTGTTACATCTATTCAATGATCAATTACTTCCGTCCACGCTGTTATTCCAAGCAGCGCACCAGTAAATATCAACCAGTTTTGAGCATCATGGAAATTACACACTATCAATGTCAAACCACCACTGAAAACCTGGGAGCACTGAACAGCCATTCCGTTATAATATGGAACTCCTCGACAGTGCGCATCCTTGCACAAACACGTGAGAATCGAACACACTACATTCAAGCTTGCGGGCAAACGCCTAATCTGTATACCACCGAGTCAGTGTCCAACAGTGTCAATGTCGAACTTGAATTAATTCACGGTACTGCGCTCTCATCTATTGTTTTTGGTGGATAACAGCTTCACACCTGACAAGGTGTATCTACATTGCTCAAAACTTCTCACTTGAACTCCAGAAACAACAGTAATTAACCCGTCTCTTTTGGCATATGTAAGCCCTCAGCTAGTTGATTCAATGTTTCCATCAGTCAAAAGGATAGTTAAGCAGATTTAGATAATGACCATCAATGGAATCTATGATACACATCCTGGAACTGGTCAGTTCGATTTGCCTACACTTAACATCAA